CATCATTAAAGAGGGCCCAACATCATAGCTCTATATGTAACCTTATAGAACTGTTAGAGACTCGTAGCCCCTATAGAGCCTTTATATGACCTCTACATAAACTGTACTGTGATAATGTGCTTTGCAGGACTCCGGAGAGACCTATGTGCAACCAGAACTCGCAAAGGTGCCATTAAAGGGTGTTGGGATTTAGTGTTTAGGGATCAACACGTTTACTAATTAATTGTATTCAAATAATAAGAACCCTCCTGCCACCCTCGAATAACAAATGCTTTCCTGGGGTTTTGAATAGTTATGAGGGTCAGGGGGTTTCAATATTACGGGGAGCGGATTACTTGTCCTCAGGCCTCAGGCTCTTTTGGGGTGAGTGACGCGGGGTGCGGGCAAGACGGATGCCTCAGATCTGGTTACTGGAGCTTGTCATTTTGGCCCGTGGATCCAGTGTCTATTACAAGTATGTAGGCTCTTGGAGTTGCTTTTGACCACTATCTTCTGCCGCTAGAACACTACGTTCTGCCGCTAACTTGGTCTATGTCGGGATAATTTGGGACATTGTCTACAAGCGACAGAGACGGTATCCCTGTACTTGTGGGTTCTTCTTCGACAAGCGCCGGCATAAGTTCCCCTCTGTTTTGGGAGTGGTAAATTTGGCGAACTCCCCTGTACTCGTAGCATCCACAAACGACAACTGATACATGCATAAAGCCCTTAGAGTTGTTTCAAGCTTCTTTGTGAGCACCTCGTTTGGTTCATGTCGTTCTGGGGGAGCAGTTAATTGACAGAATTCTGCGCATACTGACTAAGTGGACTAGGATGTTGAAATGACGGGTCGAGCCCAAATTTCGATTGATGTAGCTTCATATATGACTTCACCGTGGTTCCTCATGAGCCGCTACCTAGAGACGCGACACCATCCTCATTGCATATTACCCCTTTTGTGTAGCGGTACTAGATTGGGAATGTTCGCAATTGAGGCGGGGGTGTTTTCTTTGCTTTGATATTTGTTATCTATACTTTCCTAGGAACCAGCTGTTTTTATAATTTTTGCAGGGCGTCCAGGGAACTTATATAGAGTAAGCCATAAACCGTAACCCCAAACCCTAAAAATTAAATCCTAAACTCTAATTCCCACAGATATAGTCTCCCCCAATGTAGATAGACTATGGGGTATATGCGGATCTCATATATTCTGTCCACTTAAGGGAGACTATTCCCCTACATTCTTGGGGGGAGGAGATGAGAGGTTAAAAGTGTTTGCTCGCAGGATTTGGCTGAAGTTCTCAGTGGAGGCCCGCAGTGCGTGAACTGAGCTTTGGCTTGACGACTGGGGCCCGAGAACGACAAGTCTCCGCAAATAGGCAGGGAAATAAACAAATAAGGTGAATAGTGAATAGATAAATAAGTAAATAATAAATGAGTATATATATATATAGAGACTACATAGTTACACATTATTATACATATATACATACATATATCTATATATATATAGAGATGTGTGTAAATGTGTTCATATATACATACGTAAATTTGCAAATAGGTACATATACGCATATATGCATGTGTGTTTGTACGTATATGTGTATGAAGGCAAATACTGTACATACATGCACATGAGATATCTGCAGACATATGCCGACGTTTGTGCCTATGTATACATATGTATGTGCATGTTTTCATATATAGTCACGCGTCTGGCCCGCCTGGCGTTGGTGCATGTTGTGGTCCCTTGATGGTCCCTAGGTGAGAATGAAATCTCCGTGACTGCCATTGTGTTCAACCCTATACAGGGGCAGGTTTGAACGTGTGTTTGTTGTTAAAGAAATGCTGTCTTCAATTTCTATGTAATCCCTATGAAACCATAACAAATAATGGGCAGAGTGCCCCAAACCTGCCCTAACAAAGGGATGAGGCATTGCGAGGTGCCATCTTGGTTAAGGTCATCACGTTGGGCTTCTGACTCTGCCTACAAGATCTTGAAATTTCAGCAGTCACAGGCATGGGGCAGCTTAACGCGCGATCCTTGTGACTGTGGTCGCGGTTGTAGTTTTTGGTTTGAGACTGTCTGCAACTTCCCAAGGAGAGTTTGTATTTCCTACTGTAACCCTATAACCCAAATAAGCATACACATCACCCTCGAAAATCCCACTGAAGTCCCCCAACCACGCCGACAGGGAGGGGAGACAGTAGGAATAGATACCATATCATACTGGTGGAGGCCAGGCGGCGAGCAAACGTTTCTGCATATGCATGTAGATATATATATATATATGTGTGTGTGTGTGTTTTTGCACTACCCCCCACTCATGGTATTCAGGACGGGCCGAGTAAAGAAAACCTAGACATTTCCATGCCGGTTGGGTTGACATTGCATTGTCAGGAACTTGGCTTCTATGCAGTTCAATGCCCCCAGGCTTCCTTACCCTCATCTCTAGAGCCAGCACGTGCAAAAAACTCAGGAGCCACGGCGAGGCTGCTGTGAGAATCCGTACCTCGCCTTCTTTCTTGCTTGCTCACAAGTCACCCAAGGCACGATACAAGGGATGGCCGCCGCGTTAGTAGTCACCTTGGTTGCAGTATGAGCTTTTTATTACCGCTACTAAAATTATTAGTAGAAGCCGCAGCGGTAGAAGAGGAGTAGCAATGGAAGCACTTATAGCTGCTGGCGGGTGTGCGGTAGTGGTGGCAGTACGCGTAGCATGCAATGATGTAAGCAATCGTGGTAGTCGGTATTTTTTCAGCAGCTGCTCCAGCATCAGAACTTGTAGCAGCAGCTGCTTTAACAGCAGAAGGAGTCGCAACAACAGCCCCAGCACATGTTTGAAGAGAAGGACCTTCAGCAGGTGGTCTACGTAGCTTGTTTGGAGTCAACCCCTCTGTTGATAATCCCAGTTTCCATTTCATTTTCCATTTGATTCTCCATTATAGTAGTTTCCATTTTCTTTTCCATTATCCCAATATAACCCCAACCCTAACCCCTAAACCCTAAACCCTATACCATAGTAGTTTCCATTTTCTTTTCAATTATCCCAATATAACCCCAATGGGTACCCCTAAACCCGAAGCGTGAGGCAAACGGATGGCTGAGGTCGGCAGCTGAAGCTCGGGCTTCGCTGCAGTAGAATGTAAGCGAGACGCCCTGGTCTTCCGCTTCAGGTCGGTGCCAGATAGCTTTAAGACAAGACTCGCGATGCAAGCATGCGCAAAACGAGCAAGATGGTGAAGGGCTGATGGGAAAGAAACAATATGAAGGCTAATCTGGCACCAGCCGAAAGCCGCTGGACCTCATAAGTGCGCACCGAATGTGACAAGGGCTGAGAATATGTGCATCCACAGGGAGAAGTCCGTAACACGATGTTTTGCTGCGAAGTTGTTGTGGCGTAAAATGTTCCAATATAAATCAAGCGGCATGCTTTTTTTTTCTCTGGAACCGCCCATGAATATAAGGTTTGCACAACTTCTGCTTACGGTTGAAGCATCAGACAGATGACATCTTCAAACAGCAGTGATGCCCGGTGCTCAATGCCCCGTTCCCACCTTACTTTCGAAAAGCTTCACTTTCTCCTTCGAAGAACAGTCTTCAAGACCAAGCCCTTAAAACGGCTTCCCCCAAAGCCAACATCTCAGGAACGCACATACTTCATGTGTTGGCAACAACAGCCGCGGTGTGACCAGAAAAAGATCTTTCGCTGAAGCGATGTCTTCGGTCTCCACAGGTGATATGAAGGCTTAGGCGGCAACCCGTGAGGACTGCCCATAGGTGAGTAAGAAGTATGCGCGATTCAGGAAATCAAGGGGTGCCGACATGCAAAACATGCTAACACTTGGCTTATTGGACACGACAGAGACAGTATATCCATCTACACCGCACTAGTAAGCACCAACGCATGTCGCTGGGTAGTAGTTGTTTTTTCTCCAAGACATCCTTTTATCGGCGCCGTACAAGCCCGATTCAAAACCCTATGTAAAACGAGTTTGCATTTTATGTCCCACTTCGTTTTCCACTTGAGTCTCCACCGCCGACTTGTCTATCTGGTGCAAGGTTAGGATTTTCATCCAGGAAGCCAGCGTCATGTCCATCTCAGCTATGCATGTGCTTTGGCAGGAAGCGCTCATGTGCAAGTATGCTTCTACCTACTACCGTTCCCTACGCCCTGAGCCCTTAACGCATAAACTGCGTGTATCCTCCGCTGCCGTGTCAACTGCCCCGTGCCAGAGCTGCTGGCATTTGCACAGCAGTTGCTGCGCATGGTCCAGTAGCACGAGTTTGCAATGTGCTGCCACCGCCTCACACAAGACTTCCTAAACACAGTGTTGCAAGCTATACGGTACCGGATGTCCCAAAGTTGCAAATCTTTAGTGCGTGACCTCTTCGGGTATCAATGGCAAACCAATTAATCTTCAAACCAATGTTCAGGCACTAAACGGCACTCCATGCACTCCACGCCAGTCGAGTGCCATGGCTGATTCAAGATCAGTGATACTGCAGAAGCTCCTCCAGCCGTCGCCTGCAGCAGTGGCTTCGCATTTGGCGCGACAAGGGACGTCGGCCAGAAGAGCGAGACATGTACCTTGGTTTTTCTTGGCACACCTTCTCCCTTCCTGGAAAATTGGGACCTCCCCAAATGTAGGGACCCTGTTCTATCTCCCAAAAGCAAACGTACTGCATGCTTTTGTTATCCGTACTTCCTATATATTCCCTCTAAAGCCACAAAGGAAGTTTTTTTTAAAGGGAAACCAAACCTATCTTGGTTCTAGGGCTAGCAACAGATAACCTCCAG